CGCCCGGCTGGCCGTGGGGTGACACAGATGCTGGGGATGCATTTGGGACTTTAGCTGTAAGACGAAGGCTGAATGAAAGAACCCCACATTTGCTATTCGCCACGGATTTGGAAATAGTTCTCTCCTTGTTGGTGGGTTGTAGGAATGTTAATTGTACATCCGTGATTTTCCCAGAGGGTTGGTTTCTTAGGGTTTGTTTTTCATGTAGATAATGTGTTAGAAATTAAGTACACTTTAAAGCCTTTGTAAGACCATGCGAATTTCTCTGTTTATTTAAAGTAAGCTCTATGCCCAATGTGGGGCTTGAACTTACGATCCGAGGTTAAGAGTCGCATGCTCTACCCACTGAGCCACACGCCCTATATGGGAATTTATAAATCAGAAAAGTCATCCTTTGTGGCCGTGCCTTGTTGTATAACAAGTGATCCGGTCACTTGGGCGTAAAAGTGTTGTGCAAAGCGCAAGCCGTGTGGTGCCTTCGTGTCCTGCTGCATCCTGCTGCTGTGGGTCCCTGGTGGGCACCACAGTGGCACGGTGGCGAGGTCGTCCTGGGTAAAGTGACTCCAGCTGATACACGCGCAGCGGAAAGAACAGCCTCTGGGGGTCCCAGCTCTGCCTGCGTTTCCGTCCTTGGGAAAACCGGTTAACACCTGCACACTTCAGGGTCGGACTCCTCCCCTCCAGAGGCCTTCCTGGTCCTAAGATCTTGACCAGTTAAGCGTTTGGGGAGGTTGTGAATGAGTGTTCAGTCTGCGAAAGAAAGAGCCACGTAAGCGTGTCCACGGTGACGCCGGTGTTTCCTTTCCGACTTTTCAGACTGGTGTTCGAAGATGCCGAGTCGGAAGTTCGCCGACGGGGAGGTGGTGCGGGCTCGCTGGCCCGGGAGCTCGCTTTACTACGAAGTTGAAATTCTGAGCCATGACAGCGGCTCCCAGCTCTACACCGTGAAGTACGAGGACGGGACGGAACTCGAGCTGAAGGAGGGTGACATCAAGGTGCGAGCCCCTCGGCTCCCCCAGAGGCGGTCACGCGGTGCGGGAAGGGCTGTGATGTGGCTGAGCTCGGGGCGGTCCCACCTGGCCCCCAGCAGGGCCGCGCTTCGGCTTTGGGTCGGACGCCGGGTCCGCCCTGGGGACGCACGGCTGCGCACGGCGGCCTGTCCCCGGGAGGCTCCCAGCCTCTTGGAGAAGACCTTCCGTGGGTCCTTTCCCGGGGGGGGGGGGGGGGGGGGGGGGGACATTTGGCCGGGCGGTGCTGTTGGTGCATGGGGGTGGGGGTGGTCCCGGTCTCAGGCTTGCAGGGGACACCTGGGCAGGTGCCGAGGCCACACAGGGAGCTCGGGGTGGAGGGCGGCATGCCAACGGGGTGGGGTGGGGCCACCCAGAGGGCCAAGAACGTGGTGGGCGAGGAGTGGGTTAAACGGGAGCAGAACCGGAGGGGTCTGGGCTTCGTCCTGACCACCAAGGATTTAATCAGGAGAGTGATGCTGATTAGACTTAAGTCTGGCCCGGGGCTTCTCGGCGTGTCTGTGAGCGCCTGGGCTCAAAATGATCTGATCCCAGGGGTGGAAATCATATGTAAAGTACCGGAAAGATGGCTCTATTTTCGGATGGAGAAAAAGACATACAAAGTAAAAGCCCCAACTTCTTATTGTTAGAGTCAACAAGCCTAAAATTACTTTGTCAGAATGCTATAAAAATTTCTCCACATCTGTTCTCGATTTCATTTTTTGTCACAGATCAGTAAGAAACGGTTCTTGAACCGGTGGCCTGTGGCCCGGGGGTGGGCAAAGTTCTTGAAGACAGGGGCAGATAGTAACTGTTCTAGGCTTCCTGGGCCATCTTTCCGCAGCGTGAGAGCGGCCCCCAGCAGGGCAGGTCGGGAGTGGGTGCACGTGGCTGTGTTCCAATAAGATTTCATTTGTGCACACTGACATTTGAATTTCAGGGGTTCTCAGGTGTCACAAAGTTGCATTTTCCTTCTGCTCTTGTCTGCAATCATTTAAAAAGTGTCAAGCCACGCTTCAGTCCTGGGCCACACGGACTCAGGTGGGAGAGGAGAGGGCGGGTGCGGCGTCGCTGAGCGTGATGCACCTCGCGCCCATTTGCCAGACCTGCCTGTGCGTGTCGCCCAGAGTGACACCGTAGGACCGAGTTTCTTGCCGTCCGTCCCGGTCCCGTCACCCGTTAACCCAGCGGGCTAGAGGGAGCCCTTCTAGTCTGTGCGGTTGGAAGGCACACGGCTCGCTGGTTTAGGCGCGGTCACTCCGCGTGGCTCTGCCTTCTGAGAAGGGTCGGGCGTGGAGCGGCCGCGTGCGTCCCGCGTGTCACTGGCCGGGCCCAGCAGGCACTCGGATGGCCTGAGGCCCGGGGTGGTTTCAGAGCCGACGGTACCGGGTCTGCCTCGTGGTAAAACTGTGCCTTCTTGTCCCTCTCTAGCCCTTGACTTCCTTCAGGCAAAGGAAGAGCGGCTCAGCCTCCAGCTCTCCCTCCAGACGCCGAGGGAGTAGGTCCAGGTCCCGCTCCCGATCCCCGGGCCGACCTCCCCGAAGCTCCCGCCGATCCGCCTCTGCCTCGCACCAGGCCGACGTTAAGGAGATGAGGAAGGAAGTGTTGGAAGTGAAGCTGACCCCGCTCGTGCTGGTGGGTGCACACGGCTCGCGCGAGGCCTCGGCCCTCGTCCGGGGTCAGGTCCCCAACAGGCTTCCCTCCGTGCCGTGCCGCCAGACTGCCTGCAGCGAGGGGACCTCCCGTCCAACGCGACGGCTCGGGAAGGCCACACCCTCACGCGGGGGTCGGGAAGAGTAGGAAGCGCGAGGCTCTGATTACCGGTGAAAAAGAAGGTTCAGTTACGAGGGTGCTGTGGTTTTAAAAGATATTGTGTTTTTTAATATTGTGGTTTTGAAAAAGAGCAGTGTTCACGTTGGAAATGGAGGAGGACTGTAGCTTGAACTGAAAAAGTTTTACAGTTTATAGATGTTCACGTATAAAATGACAGTGGGACGTCACTGGGTTCTAAAAACGTATTCTTGGTCTCTCAGTGTCATTGCCATTGACCCTCGACCACTTCTCTCCCACGACGGTAACTTCAAAGGAGTTGCTTTCCAAGTTGAAGCTTGGAAAGGTCGTTGTGCAAGCCTGTAGGCCCCTGTGCAGTGGCTGTCTCAGATGGCAGGCTAAATAGAAATGATTTTCTTTTTGTAAGTTTATTTATCAATTTTGAGAGAGAGACAGAAAGAGAGTCCCAAGGAGGCTCTGCACTATCGGTGGGGCTTAGTCCCATGAGCCGTGAGATGGTGACCTGAGCCGAAATCAAGAACTGGACGCTTAACTGACTGAGCCACTCAGGCGCCCCTAGTAGTGATTTTTAAGAAAAATAATTGAATAAAGATGATCTTTTATTCTATTCACTTAATATTACCTCTCTACTGGGTAAAAGGCACACAGACTTTTAATAACCCTAAGCAACTGGATGAAATACACACCGTTTTGCGGCTAGATTTGTAAATTTTAAAATATATCGGGAATAACATGCATTACATTTTTGTACGTCATTTTTGTCGCACGGTATTGTTTGGATAGACCACAGATTCTACAGATGTGACGTCATTGTTGAGATGCCTTGTGGGTAGGCTTTTAGCCTCTTCTCTAAATTTTCACTGTGGTGAGCAGATCTGCTTCTACAACATCTGATGTTTCGTTTCCTTCAGATAAATTTTTGAAAGCGGAACCGCGAGGCCGGCGGTAGTGCGGGTTTGAGGCCTTCACTGCACGCTGCCAGATCGCTGGCGCAAGGGTTATACCGCTGTCTGGCGTGTGGTGCCTGTTTTCTGATTCTGAGAATTACCATAATTGGCCTCCTTTTTGGCCAACGCGATGGCCAAAGAGTGTCCGCCCACCGCTCCACCTCGCGTTCCGAGAATTGCTTGTGAGCTCGAACGTTGCGTCCGACAGCGGCTCTCCTTACCAGGCGGGGGACACGTGCCGCTCTCTGTCACATTTTCATTTGTAGCATTTAGGGCCCGTTACATTCTTGCAGTGTGACCTTCTCCCAGTCCTGGTGACCCGAGGGCCGCAGGCCGGCCGTGCTCCTCCCCGGCGGAGCGGAGCCCGGGGCCACCGCGGAGCCGCCGCGGGAGTGAGGACGGTGTGTTGCCCGGGAAAGACCATCGCTGTGCTGCGTGTGGCTGTGACAGTCACTGCACCTTGTGGCCATGGTGCCTCATCGTGACCTCTCGCAGTACCTTGCCTCGCTGCGTGAGCGCCCTGTCACCTTGCACCCGGCAGAGTTCCCGCAGTGCGGGGTCACGGCTGTCGCTCCGTGCCGCTGAGAGCGAGGTATTTGCCGAGCGGCTTGTTGGCACTTTGGTAAACTGAGGTACACGTTGAGCTTTCTCACCGCTCGGTCTGGCTTTGATTGGAGCTAGAGTCTGACACCACATCACTGCCGTCCTTCGCCAGTGGGCCTCCCGAGGACGTACTTGCATTTTTAACTTGTTTTTCTCCTGTTGCTTTATTAGTGTGATAACGTATCAGGGATGTGGACGGGAGCTCAGTGACAGATTTCAGCCACGCGTTGCCCGGAAGGTCTTTTGCAAGCTGATGCACTTCCCCTGTTCGGTGCAATAAATGCTCTCCGCTGCCTGATGAGGGTGCAGGTTCGCGGCCGGGGACCCACAGGCAGGCAGAGAGAACACGGGGCTCAGTAGAAACCAGGCAGCCGGAACCCAGCAAGGAGGCAGTTTGTGGGTCATGGGCAGGGCTTCCCCAGTGCCTGTTGCTTGTTAATTTCCCCTTGGTGGCTGTTTTGGGCCAGTGAATGTCTTTCCCCCTTTTTCTTAACCAGTGAATGAACTAACTGAGTTTTACCTTATCTAACTCCTAGCAAATATTATTAGTGTTTGCCCTTGAACAATGGCATTATAACATTGAGTCTGCTTGTGTTTAAAAAATGAAAGATCTTGTGTAGAAATTTATATTGTCAAATCCAGTCACTTAAAGATTGGGAAATTCTAATCGATTTTAATCCTCTTCCTTTTTAACAAAAGTATGCTGAAATCCCTCAGAGTTGAAGCTGTGAAAATCTTTGTTTTATTGCTTGATTTCATAACGACATTCGGACATCATGTTCTGTTTAATGAGGTCTGATTCTTTCTTAAGTTCACGATATGCCGTCTTCTTCATTTTAGAAGCCATTCGGAAATAGCATCAGCAGATACAACGGGGAGACTGAGCGCTCCGAGAGAGGTGGCATGCCTCACGGACACGCTGAGGTGCGAGGTGTCCCGTTCCTCCCCCCGCTTTTTCTCTTTGTTAAGGTGACTTTCCCTCAAGAATCACATTGGAGGGGCGCCTGGGGGGGGGCTCTGTCGGTTGAGCGTCCGACTCTCGGTTTTAGCTCAGGTCACGATCTCACGGTTCATGAGTTCGAGCCCCGCGTCAGGCTCTGTGTTGACAGTGCGGAGCCTGCTTGGGATTCTCTGTCTCCCTCTCTGTGCCCCAACCCTGCTGTCTCTCTCACTTGCTCTCTTTCTCTCTCTCTCTCTCTCTCTCTGAAAATAAGTTAAA